GAGGGTGGGGGTGGGAGTGGGGTCTGTAGGTTCGGGTACATCGACAGAGAAGCAGGAGGAGGAGTGAGGGGATAGAGGCTTCCTGGATGGGTGGGGGATGGGATAAGGGAATAACTTATGAAATGTAAATAAAACATCCAATAAGAAAAATAAAGGAAAGTTTTCTTATAACAAAGGATATTATCACAAAGGAAAAAGTAGTGATTAAGGGGGGTTATATTTAACAATTTTGATGTATATATCTGACAGAGTGTTAGTATCTAGGATATACAAAGAACACATCAACTTATAAACCAAGAAAACAAATAACTAGTTTTGAAGTGTACAAAGGAATAGTTTTTATTTATTATTAACATCTATAGCAACATTTATCATGCTATATATGCTATCCATGATTTACATTCATTATTTTGTGTAATTCCTATGTAATTTTTTTATAATTTATATTTTTTTCAAATCATAATTTTTACTCATTCACACAGGGGTTATAAACACAAAAAGGCAGGACGTGGGGAAGAGGATGACACTGGAGCATGGGTGTTCAGGGGGAATACAGATATCTTTCAGAAAAATTAGGATTTAAAACCAGAGTTTTCAAAAGATAAAATTTAAATGTTAAAGAAGCATTTTTAAGAAAATTAACAGTCTTAGCCATTAGAGAAATTTAAATTATTTTTTTTTGTTTCATTCCAGTCTGAATGACTAACTTGAATAACATCAAATGTTGGCATAGGTATCAAGATAGAGAAAAACTTATTCACTGCAAGGGAGAGGTCAAACTGCTGAGTCATCTGTGAAAGTGAATGTGGCGGTTCCTTAAAATGCTATAATACCACTAACACATGACCTGGCTGTAGTACTCTTGAGCACACGCACAAAGGATTCTATTATTATGAGGGCATTTGCTTAGTGATGTCTATTGCTGCTATATTCACAATAGGAAATGGAAAGAGCTTAAATGTCTTTGAATAAACTAATGTATAACAAAACTACAGTGAAGAGTAAGAGAATTTTAAATACTTAGCACTAAATGGGATATCTATGTTACAGATCTTGTCTCTCAAAGGCTTAGGTATATGCATAAGTGGTGGCTCACTGTGCAAGATATTATAAGAATCAGCTAGGGTGTACGAACAACCAAAACAGTTCTCCAGCAGGGCAGTCATATGAACTCACGGCATATCAGACAGCATGCATAAGACCTACAGGAGCACAACCCAGATGAAATCCCATCATGGAGCAGAGAAACAGGAATTAAACGTCCCTTAACTAAAAAGATATTAGCACTTAATATCTGCTGGGAGATGTAATATCAGTTTTCTTCAATGGGATATTGGCCACGTTTCAGAGTGGGTACACATCTAGAGGTAGTCAACTAACACAAACTATACTTCATAAATATTTTTTTGAAAGAGAGGGAGGGAGGGAGAGAAAAAGGGAGGAGAAAAATGAATATAATGTTGGGTAGATAAGGATATGGAAGAGGAACTGGAAGAAGCTACGGAAGGGGATGGGTATGATCAATGTCTATGATAGTCTGAAGGAATAAAAAGATATCTTTTTAAATCAGAAATAGCACAAATAAATGACTTGATGGTGCAATTCAAACACTTTAAAAATCAAACCCCACTCTGAAATAAAAATCGGAGCCAAAAGTAATGAAGTTTAGATGAAAAAAATCAGTACACAGAATCAGCATGTCAAAGAGCTTGTGCTTTGAAAATATAAAAACTATCCTTGGACTTCTCTTTCTCCCCAGCTGATACATCTACAGTATAGTTACTACACCTGAAGCTCAAGGGGACACTGCAGAAATAAAGGGAATAGCATTTTTGAACATTTCAGGTTTAGAATAAATACACTTTGTATATTGATTATGTCTTGATTTTTCATAATATAAAAATTTATTTCTATTATAAATTGAAAGTAAATATTTCTGTTGAATTTTTTGGAGAAGAAGTTGATTGGGATAAATTTATATCTTAAAAGTTGTCATTTCGTTTTTTAAAATAATTTATTTTTTCTCAAATCGTAATTCATTCACACATAGGTTATAAACACAGAAAGGCAGGATGTGGGGAAGGGAATGACACTGGAGTGTGGGTGTTCAGGGGGAATACAGATATCTTTCAGAACCGGGTATCGGCTGGGTGAAGGTTCAGGGGACAAGTCACTATGACTTAGCTATGGAGGACCACAGGACTCAAGATGAGGTTGTTACATTATACAGGCTGTTTCCAAAAACTGTCATTTCTTAGGAAAGCAAATATATCTGAAATATATATTCTGTTTCTTTGTATATCAACATGTTTCAGAGATCCATGATGATTAGAAAACGTTTCTTCAATGTTTTTCTGTTTGTTGCTATTAATCAGTGTTTTCCTGATGTAATTAGTACCATGTAGGAGAACAGGAATAGAAAAAAGCTACAAGATAAGGAGAAATGTAGATAGAAGAACATCAATGAGGGGAAAGTTAATACGAATTTCCATGTAATTCTCGATTCTCTCCTCTCCTTCTTTCTCCTCCCCTTCTTCCCTCTCCCCCACTCTCTCTCTCTCTCTCCCTCTGTTTGTCTCTTTCTCTCTCTCAAATCTCTCTTGCCACCTTCTCATTCTCACTGTGTCTCTCAATTGATTATGTAGTAAAGATACAGAAAATAAAATAGAAACATGGACCAACATAACCAATTTTGCTTTAAACATTTGTATAGCCTAAAGATGTGTTTTATATCCTCAGAAAGTATTTTGAAAACGACATTTATGATCTAAAACTTGTCTGATTTCATTTTACTGAATAAATTATTTCGATTAACATCAAAAATGTGACATTTTGTACAATTTTTTTATATCAATGCCAAGGACATAGTCTGATACATTCAAAACAAAAGGATGTATCATACATTGTCATTTCACTAGGATTTAAATTACTTGCATGTGCAGATAATGACTTTGTTACAATAGGAAAGAACTAGATATCCTTGGACTGTGTTGTAATGTCTTATATGGTATAGATCTGCTTTGGTTTCTTGTCTATTATTATATAAATATGATTCATCTCAGACTTAATAAGAAAATATGACATTAGCTGTTGAGGTGTTAAAGAATAAGCAGCTTCCATAATTTATAAGCATAGTATCTTATAAAACAACTAAAGAGCTTCTGGATTTGGGTAATTAAAGGCAAAAGTGTACAGAAATTCACTTTGGTGAAGCACTGAAATTTAAGACTTGATGTTTGAAAATGCATACATAAAAGCCCAGTACTCTGAAGACTAAGGCAAGATGATCTTAAATTGAAAATCAGCCTGGCATATGTAGTCTGAGATTCAGACTAAGAAAGATGCACTGAAATAATTTAATAATAAGGTAGTGAGAAGAGATGGTCAACCATTGTGTGTGCAACACACAACCACTTAAAAATAAATCACAGATGTTGTGAATATCTTATTGGGTCTGCACCAGAATGGGGACATCCAGATCAAGAAATGACAGAGGAAGGATTTAATGTGTCCCACTCTTACAGAGGATTGAAATGATACTAATAGATTAAAAGAGAAAAGAAGTCATTGCCTTCACTTTTGAAACCACTCCCTATGCTCCAGTACATAATTCCAACCCAATGGTCACACTGAGGGCCCTGGCTAAACTAAATGGGTCATGAAACAAAATTAGAAGTCATGAATCTGGGAAACTGAGTCATAGTGATGAAGGAGTGAGGCTTTTATGAAATTCAAGGCAATAAAAAGTGTGGATAATGAGAGTGAAGACAATCCATTATATAGAACATAAAATAGGCAACAACATTAATATTTTAACATAAAATATTGAAATATTTAACATAAAAGCCTCAATCATCACATAATTATCAAGTCACCCCTGTGGGAGCAACTCTAGCTGAGATTCCTAGAAGTCAGAGATATGGATCCTGAAGTGACTACTTCCTGTTACCAGGCAGGACTCCCAGTGGAGGGATAAAGACAGCAACCCATCCACAAATACCTTCAACCCAAAATGTCTCCTGACTATAAATAAGATGTGAAAGGACAATGACAGAGGGAATGGCCAACCAGTGACTGCCTCAAATTAAGAACCCATAGACAAGAACCAATCCCTGACACTGTTAATGATACTCTGTTAAGCTTACAGACAGGAGCCTAGCATAACTGTCTTCTGAGAGCCTCCACACAGAAACAAATGGAAACAGTTGCAAAGTCCAAGAGTCAAATATGACATGGAGCTCTGGGAGTCTTGTGAAAGAGTTGGGGGAAGGATTGAGGGGATAGGGACTCCACAGAACGACCAATAGAATCAAACTGTACCTACCCTTGGGGGTTCCTAGAGACTGAAGACTAACCAGAGTAAGTATGGACTAGACCTAAAGCCCCCGCACATATGTAGCAAATGTGCAGCTTGGTCATCATGCAAGTCCCCCCAAAACTATAGTAGGGGTTGTCCCTGAATTTGCTGCCTACCTGTTCCCCTATCCTCAATGGAAAAGGATGAGCCTAGTCCTGTCATGACTTGAAATGCCGGGTTCATGTGGGTGGTCGTGGTGGGTGATGGTGGCCACACCCAGGGACATCTCTTCATTCTCAGATGAGAAGGGAAGGTGGAAATGGTGAGGATCTGTGTGAGAGGGTTCTGGGAAGAGAGAGGGGCTGATATTGGGATGTAAAGTGAATAAATTTTTAAAAATCAAGACACCCTTCTTGGGCTGGAGAGATAGCTCAGTGGTTAAGAGCACTGACTGCTCTTCCAGAGGTCCTTAGTTCAATTCCCATCTGTAATGGGGTCTGATGCCCTCTTCTGGTGTATCTGAAGAGAGCAATGGTGACTATAAAATTAAAAAAAAATAAAAAAAAAACAAAACCTTTAAAAAAAAGACACCCTTCTTTTTTATTTGTTTTGCTACAGTTTGGGATATAATTTAATTTAGAACATCAGCTATTTAAATTTTTATCTGATATGTGTATGTCACAATTATTTACTACAATTTACACATTTATCAAGAATCAAGTTGTGTGACTGCTATGTCACATATGCATTAGTAGGTGGCAGAGGAGAGAGCCCATGTCCAACTTTGCTCAATGTTCTGACCTATGAACATCTGAATGATTAGTAGCTTAACATTCCCTGAAAAAGATGAGTCTGATATGAACACCTAACCACCACCATGGGGACTGGATAGGAAACTAGCCTGAGATCACCACTTGTCTGCTACTTTGAGGACATGTGGTGGTAGGTAGACTGTGCCCAGTGACATAATGCATAGGTGGGGATAGCACTCCTGAAACCATTAATGAGACAACCCCAGACATGAGGAGACCCTGGCACCACTAAGAGAGGCAAGTAAGTGGTGGATATACAGAAGAAAAACAGAAGAATGTGAGTACAACAGAGAGAGGAAAAACTGGAGTCTTGAGGGTAGTAAAGAAGAGTCTGATGTGAATAGTCAGTGATGCCACCTGGTGCCATTGTGGTGTCTTGCCTTGTGCTGCCACTGAGGGCCATGTCTGTGTCTGTAGCCCTGCAACAGCAGTAGTCTGTTACCATCAAAGGACAGGTGGACAATTCTGGCCTGGGCTGTCTGGGCTTGTCCTGAGAGCAAGTTGATGTCTGAGGGTTATGCAGAAATTGCCCCCTCCTTTACTGGGCATCCTTGGAGAGTTGACCCCAGAGGCATGAGAGGAGGAGTGTTGACACTGCCCTAGCCAGTTTCAGTACTAGGGAGGGTGACCTACATATTGTGGGCGTTGCAACTGAGCCAGTCTGAAGATAAAAGTGTGGGAGAGCTGGCCTTACCACTGTCTCCCATGTGATGGCTTTGATAAGGGAGAGATTATCTCTCCTCACTTGCTCCTCTCCACCTGAGACAAGAGAGTGTCCTGGGCCCTGGATCATGAGAGCAGGACAGCTGGTCCTATCCCTCATGAGCTTCAGCTCTCATAAATATGAGCCCTTCAACTCTCCTGGGCAGCACAGTAGAGCTGACGCTGGTGTCAGGAGTGTGGGTGAGCCAGCCCCAGTGAGCATGGAAGAACCAGCCCTGCCTCTTGTTGTGTGGTGGTTTCAGGAAGGGAGAAATCCCATCCCCTCCCTCATCCCTTAACATCTATGGTAGGTAGGTGGGAGAATTGGCCCAGGGGTTATGAGAGTTGGAGAACTAGTCAAGTCGTTTCCCAGCTGCAACTCTCAGAAGAGTAGGACCTGCATCTTGCCTGGGCAGCAGGATCTAGCTATCACTTGTTGCTGAAGTTTGCTGGTGAGCCAACTGGAGGGTGTGAGAGTGTTAAAGCTGACCAACTCAGATACCTTTCAGGCCCAGATCCAGGGCTTTGAATTGGCCCACCTTAACATCTGCCCCATTGATAAACTGCTGTGGTATTACAGGTACTACACGACACAGCGCAACCACAACATATTGGATAGGTGTTCCAGTGAGGCTCTAGCATTGACGATAGAGGCCTCTCATCGGACCAAGTCATTGGTAGGAATATTTGCAAGCAAACATGTGTAGACTAAAGGCTATACTGTGAGACACACTGTGATACACCACAGCTTCCACAGGGAGATATTTTTTCTTGATTGGTGGAGGGGGTTGCAATGGTGGGGTACAAATACTGGGAGGATGAGTACGATTGGGGTTCATAATGTGAAAATCACAAAGAACCAATAAACAAACAAACAAAAAGAATCAAGCCAATAGAAAACTTTTAGACTAGAGCGTGATAATTATTCTGTTTAAAATTTCTTAAGAACACAACAAAAGAAAGACCTGTCTTATTATTTATCTCTCTATTTGAGTTTTCCAGTTTAGCAAAATATCTGATTTAGGGAAACGGGATGATAGAAGAAGGTGATACTCCATCAGAGAGAAAGAGGTTTCTCTGCAAGGGCATGTGGCAGGACTCTCACTAGTAACCAGGGTCGTAGTGTAGAATTATCAGCTCCATCCCAAGTTAGGAGCACTTATTGATCAAAATCCATCTATTTCTTGATGCAGTTTCTCTTAGAGAATGATAATTATTGCCTCGCATCCTGAGATTGCAGTCTATGCTCCTTCTGAAACAAGGCTATATCTAATTGATTCATTTGTCATCGACACACAAAGTGCAAATATTGCATGACAAGCACCTGATAAAGATTTCTTTGCTGAATGAATAACTACAGCCTTTGCTTTCTTTGCTTATACACTTCAGAAATTCATGAAGACAATTTTTTTCTAATGAACCTGCAAACTCATTACTATGATTACTTCTGTAAATAATTCACCTTTCAAATTCAGGTTCATTGTATACCCATTGAATATGTGCTGCCTTAAATCAATTGCTTAGAGTTGGCTCAGTAATTTAATGTAAGAAAAGATATTTTATAACATTTGTTTATATTCATTTATTATCCAACATTTAGCAAATATTTATATACTACATTCTCATCTTGTGGTAAATACTGGTTTATATTTTTTATGAAATTTTTGTATTCTGGCTATCATTTCATCCTATTTTAGATATTAAAGTATCTATAATCCAAAATATACCTAACAAATAATAGGTTTCATATGAGCTTTTTCTGATGTATTTGTTTTCCTTCAGATCTGAGATGTTCAAAGATGCCCTGTCTTTATGATAAATATTTATTTTTATGATCCTCAGGATTAAAATGATCTGAGACTTGGACTGGATTCAGTTTTTCATGTTTTTATCATTTCTTTGTTGGGATGGACTAATATTTTCACTCTAGACATATAAATATGAGGTAAATTCATAAACATTTTGTGCTGAATCATGGCTGCTGCTCATAGGCACCTTCTTTCCACCACTGACCACAACTTTCCCAGATGTAAATTTCAGGATTCGAGCAGAACTTAAGCCTTTTATGAATGGAGGCAAAGAGCATTCTGAATAAAATAGACGCATCTGTGGGATGCTGAAATTATTTTCTTTTTAATCCATCCCAGTGTGGTAACGTGACAGGTGAAATACAGCAATAGTAAGCAAGAAATGGGAATTCACTCATGAAGTAGAAACAAGGCTACCAAGAATGCGCAGAGGCAAGTCAGCAGGATTTGATGATCAATTGAGCGTGCATCTCAGCACAGAAAGGACTCTGTGATGTTTTCCAGACTTTTACACATTCCTTTTACATTTATGCATAGCATTCAATGGATAAACAAAATTGCATATTACATAACACAGTATTATTTGAATCTATTGGTAAAACTTTTCTCTATATTATAAAGCTATAATGTGAAGTGTTTACTGTATTTGGGGAGTTAGACTTACATTTGATTCAGATAGCCAATGGGAAGCAGTGGAGGAATGAGGGGCTCAAACTTCTTCCAGAGCTAGGAAGAAATTCTTTCCACTTATTCCATTAGAAATTCCAATTCTAGTTCCACTCATTGTCTGCAAATTTCATGAAGTCCTTATTTTTAATAGCTGAGTAATATTCCATTGTGCAAATGTACCACATTTTTTTCTGAGAGTGACTAAGGCTTTACTGAGGACTTCCCACTCTATTTTAGTCCTGAAGATTTGACGTATCATGCCTGAGCATAACTGACACTGAATGATAGACATAACATATTCCATCTCTAAATTTTTTCACATAAGCTCACCTGTAAACTTGAAAGTCTTGGAAAGCCCACATATAGTTGAAATTTTCACATTTTCTTTTCCCCCACCTGTGAAAATTTTATATGAGCATAAATTTAAATACACATACACACACACACACAAGTTACTATATATCAGTCAGATCAAGACTATATTCACACAATCTATAACTTCAAAATATCTACTATATGATGAAAGAGAATGAAACTAAAATGGCAACATGTTAGTATAAAAATCATTACAAATTTCTCTAAAAGAATGTCAAAACTATTAGACATTTCTAGGAAATATATTGAGAACAACTGTAATTGAATTTGTTAGATAAATGAGATTTATTAAGCATCTCTTCCAGGATATACTTAGATATTGTCATTCCCATAGTTAACAAACTTACTCGTTATGTATTCATTGCACATAGTGATGTATTTTATATGGCCATTCAATAGGAGTATATCCACTCCACACTCTTTTCTGCATATATCTTTTATAGGATAAAATTAAATTTTATTTAATAATTTAAGGTTAAAGAAATAAAGGTCATCTAAGACAATGTAATTCAGGATATGAAAATGTTTTAAATCATATCAGGTATCATCCAAAGCTCTTTTCCCCTTGTGCATTATAATTTTATCAATAATTGTGACTCAATTGGTATCTGATATATGATAACAGTCTTGAGAAAGTGATGTTGACTGTTAGGATTCAGTCTAAAGTCTACCCCCATAGTTACCTGGTAACAGGCAGGCATGCTCCTCCCCACAGTTACCTGGCAACAGTCAGGTAGGCCTGGCCCACTATAAAAGGGGCTCCGTCCTCTCTCTGTCTTGGACTCTTGTTCTCTCTTTTTTTTTTTTTTAAATTTATTTATTTTATTTATGAATATACTGTAGCTGTCTTCAGACACACCAGAAGAGGGCATCCAATCTCATTACGGATGGTTGTGAGCCACCATGTGGTTGCTGAGGTTTGAACTCAGGACCTCTGGAAGAGCAGTCAGTGCTCTTAACCGCTGAGCCATCTCTCCAGCCCCTCTTGTTCTCTCTTGATCTTTTGATCCCTCTGTCCCCCTCTCTCCATGTTCTCATGGCCAGCCTCTACTCTATTACCCTCTTAATTCCCCTCCCCATGCCCTGAATAAACTCTATTTTATATGAGTATCTATACTATACTATACTATACTATACTATACTATACTATACTATACTATACTATACTATACTATACTATATATGTGACTGGTCCCTAAGGAGAAAGGGATGCCTCCGCATGGGCCAGCTGAGACATTCCCTTCCCTAATACCTCACTACACACCCCCATAGAACATATTCCCTCTCTCTTTATCTTTTTATAAATACATCACTGACATCATGGGTTTACAAGATTTCGTTTATATTATACATCTTTTAAGTTTCTAATGCCAACTGAATTAAAAATTCATAAGTAAATGAATTTTGGTGCTAGCTTGTTGCCTCCTTGTACACTTGATTCTTTCTATGTTTCCAGGGCATGTGATGGT